CCATGCGGGACGATGGTTGGATGACGAATGCCCGCCGCTGCCGTACTTTAATGCACGGCCATGTTCCAGCCATTGGCGCGGTTCCCGCAGGAAATCTGCCGTACAATGGTTCCGGCTAGTGGCAATATTTGCTTATAGAATTAGCGGGATTGTGTTCAATTTCGGGCTATAATTGCGGTCCCGCGGGAGGCGGGAGGCTTTTATTGCTACAAACGGGCCATAGAATTCCGCAGCGCGGGAAGGGAGAGGAAAGCGGCGCCGAGCGCGTGCGATTGTTGCCGCCGCTGAATGTTCACCTGTCCCCGGAGAAGGGTACACAACACTGGCAGGTCCCAACTAGCCTTTACTAGGAATTTCTAAACCCTGTATTAGCTCAGTAGCTGGAACACTTTGTGTTAGCCTAGTATAGGGGCTGTATGTTCCTTATGTATGTCTAAGTCAACTAGAGTATCTTTTGTCTCCACTTTTCTATATACGTTTGTTATGTGTGTTAAGTCTTGACCTGTACCTAGCCCGTCGTGGCATGAATGTACAATAAAGGTATTTCATTTCATTTTATATCAATACCGTGGCCTGTGACTGGAGGGGTTGGTGGCGCCAGGTGGTTGGCCAGTCAGGCTTGACAGTAATAATCCTGTCTTGTGAGGAAACAAAATGGTCTTTTATTAAAAGCAAAACTTTAAAATTCACTTGTACCTTTTGGAACAGGCAATTACCATCATGGAAAATGCTCTGAAGAGGTTCGGAACGTACGAAAACTTCGAGGCGAGGACCGGCGGCAAGCGGCTGACGCGAGGCGAGATCCTGACTATCGTCAAACGGTGCTTCAAGAGGGAGAAACTCCAGAACGGCGAGGTTTGTACACTCCACTGTCTTCTCTTTCGTGTAATATGACAGACACAGCACCATATTCATTCCAAATAGCTTGTTGATTGGAAAGCATTTGAATAGCAGTAAGCAAGGAGACGTTTAAAGCCGTGTTTAAATGAAATCACCCAAACCGCGATTCGGGTAACTCACATTCCTCACATCTGGTGAAACCGTGTCCGATCACAATTCGCCTGAGCTACATTTATTGCTGTTTGATGATAACACGCAAGGTGACGTGTTGTTCATGTCAGAGGTCAATGACCTGCTTGCTGATGCCCCCCTCCCAGCGTATCTCGGCCGAATGCCGACGTGGTCCCGCCAGAGGCGGTGAAGCTCGCCCTAGCTCACGCTTTCAATGTGATTTGGAGCGTTCAGATGGAGCCACTTGAAACCGGCTTCGGGGTAAACCACATGTAAACCGCCTTGGGTGATTTCACTTAAACACGGCCTTAGAAATGTACAGATAGCCTCTACCAGGCTTCCGAGGCTGTTGGAAAACTAGTCGAGATCGGCTAAATAGACTGTATAGTATACCAGAAGTATGTTTATACAATTTTGCTCTTTTTCAGCAGCCTGGATGGAGAGCCTATGTGTAAACCGGGGGTGTCTCAATATTAAAACTTGACAGAGCTATTATATTTACTGAGGCTTTGCAAATCGTCCTGAATAGGTTGAATGTAAAAAAAAAATCAGCTCAAAATATTAATTTCCTAATTGTGCTCATCACTTGCAGGATGTGCTGCACTGAATCTGTTCGTCATTTGTAAACAACAAAAGCATTTGTAAACTTGAAGGAACGAATGTGTAAATCTTTTTCCATTGCTGAGTGTTACGCGACTTTGCTACGATACGGCTTGTCTTAGGATAACAAAGCACACCCGGTCACCCTTCTGTTCTCTATAAGTGTGATGGTTGTTTTACGTGCAGTTGTAAAGCCTTATATTTATCGACACGAAGCTGAACAACGAAGCGACCATGTCATTGTACCGTGTACGTTTTTTTTTTATTAAAACAGCAATAAAACATAAATACATACAAGATGGCGTCGAACTCAAGTTCAATGGAACTTATATTAACGGCGCCATCTACACAAAATGATTAAACAGAGATATACTGCTTACATGGATAAATAAATAAATATACAAAATCGAAACAGACTAATTGGGGTTTAGTAAATCAAATCAAATCAAATCTTTATTAAATATCAACATGGCAGATGTGCCGAAATGCTTCAGGCACGTCTGAATTACATTGACATTTTACAATTATTAATATATACAAACAACATTACATTACGTAGATTAAATGCAATTCAACGAGCGCAAGTCCCAACCCCTATCCCTTAGAATAATTGATAGGACACGAGAAAGATAATTGAATTCGAAAAGATCAATCAGATACAAAACGACCACTTTTGGTGATGAAATTCTGAGTAAAGCTCATAATTTTACAATTAGTCTCAAAACTGCAAAAGGATGATCCGTAAAGTAAAAGATATTCTAAAGAATTATCAGATAGGGAATTTACGTCCAAAATGTGTCCCACCACCCTTGAAAGTTGGCCAAAGAGAAGTAACATCTGTGTCCATAATATCACCAGGGTCCATAATATCGTCACATTGAGAAACAGTGTGCTTAAAGATATTTTTCCTGCAACATACTTTTGCACTCCTTCACACATCAAATGTACATACCTAGGGTATGTTGCAGTAAAAATATCTTTAAGCACACTATTTCTCAAGGTGACGATATTATGGACCCTGGTGATATTATGGACACAGATGTTAGACGCTGATAATAGTACGTTTTTCTTCCAGGTGATGATAAACCTGTCAGACGACCTGTTGTCGCGCGCCTCCATGACGCAGAGTCGGGGCAGACCTACACTCAACATCAACGTCAACACTTCCCGCCAGTTCTGGCTGGAGGGCGTGGCAAGACACGAGATAGGTACAGCCCAACAATGCTGCCGAAATCATGATTTCGCAAATTGCTACCATGTTATGATAAGGGGAAACACACGTAGTCATTTTGTCTTTTAACCCTACCTAGACCGGGCTTTTTTTGACATGGGGGGACCAGGGGGGGGGCGGTCTTTTGACCCCCCTAACGAACTCGCGAACGGTATGTCGTATGACCACCAGATTTTTAGAGAATGGTGTACTAGTAAAAATTTAATCATATCTACAATTTTTATGTCGTTATGACGTAATATGACGTCATTATGACGTCATTAATGTGATTTTATTGGCCAAAACCGTCTAAATAGGTTTTTCCCTGAAAACTAAATGGTATTCAACATAACTGTACCAAAAGTGTTTATGACAGATTATTATGGTGTACTAAGTCTTATGTTGCCCAAAGCAACACCGGTGACGTCATAAAATGACGTCATGCATATTTAAGATATCCGCCATCTTGGATCATCAATCTTGAATTTTAAAAAATAGTTTTTTTTTATGATAAAGCCTAAAATACATTGTAAACACACTAAAGACTTTCATTTAAACCTTTTTTGGAAAAAGAAGTATTGATGAAATTTTAATGAAAATAAGCTGTATATACTGAATATAACCGTATAATCATATGGTCCGCCATCTTGCATTTTGGCCAATGACGTCATCAAATTAGCATAAATTACGCATATTTAATGACAAAATTTACATAAAATTATATGGGATGCTATTAATATCAGAAACCATGAGTAACTTGACATAAAACCCATAAAATTCTATTGTTGAAACAAAAAGTACTAAATTTTGCAAAAAAATGCCTGTCAGAAACCCGTTGCCATGGCAACACAAAAATTATTATCTTGTTCCAATGATAGAGATTTGTTGTCAACAATATTCTAGGAAAAGTCATCAAGTTTGGCCGTTCTACGGCTAGCCGTTCAGACGCTAGATGACATCAAAGTTGCCGCGGGCACTTTTAGTCCCCCCCCCGGTCTAGGTAGGGTTCAAACAAAACAAGAAATCGCAGATTTTATATTACAAGTGAGTATTTATGGGTTCACCACACCACGAAGTGGTGGTGAACCCATATTGCTTTTTCTGATGTTTCTTCTCCTCCTTCTCCTTCTCCTGCCATTTTTTAAATGGATTCAGCTTCTTCATTTTAGGGCCCAAGGTCCTGAAATTTGGTATGGAGGTACAGTGGGCAAATACCCCTAGGCGTTTTTTAAATTATTGTGATACAGGCTTTTAGAATGGTTTTATTTGAGTTTTTTGGCTGTGTTATAGCAAATGTATTGCTGTGTTAGTGTGCCTTGTTTACCACGTTTGGGCATGAGTCATCACAATGGAATGCAGGGCATCAACCAATAGGCATG